CTCTATCTATCCGTGACTGTATCATTGTATACGTTTGTGTATATCCAATATCGTCACATCATGTCTATATGCTCAGTTTTAGAGGATCTAGTTTATCCATCCATTTGAATCATGTCACGTCTGTATTCTCTATCATATCCATGTCAATGTTAAACATAGAAGTATCACCTGTCATATTGGTTCTGTACACTACTAACTAAAGTTTTTCTATTACGAAAACAAATAATTGTATCCACCTGCTCATGGCTGACGAGAGAACGAGAAGATGGTGGTTGAGAGAAGCCACTTAAATAAGCCAATGCAGCAGCAAGAGCATCTGTACCCTGCTCTTCTATCAATTTATGTGCTGTCGGGAGGAAAAATTGTACTGATTCAGGGTGAACACCTTGCAATGTTGCAACAACTTGCTCTGATGATGATTCCAGCACCTCTTGAATCTGAGGAGGGCTGATAAACTCAAAATGACATCCTACATCACGTTCAAGAGATTTAACAGTTCTCCTCTGGCTACCAGTGAACATCAGTATAGCAGTGCCTTCTTTTCCAGCACGTCCAGTACGACCAGAGCGATGAACAAAAGTTTCTGGATCATTTGGCAATTCATAATGAATAATCTGAAGAAAAAAAGGGAGAATAGTTCAGATTTCTAATTAAAACTATAGCAACGTATCAGCACAGAATTGACATAACTAACCGCATTTTGAATACTCAGAGAATATTTACAGAACAAACTATTCCATTATAAGATCAAAGTCAAGTTTGAGAAGTATAAGACAGATACCCGAGGAGTATCGAGAGGTTCAGTTATGATTACATCTATACTGCATGTTTCACAAAACTCTAGGTGCTAACTAGAAATTGACACCTTAATTACAAAATTGTGCCATGTGAAGAAGCCAGATAGTGTACTATATTGCAAAGCCTTTCTGATTATTTGGCTTTGGCAAGATTTTTCTACTTTGCCAAAGATTCCTATAAAAAAATACTGTATTGTTACAAACTTACAATGAGCTTCCAAATCCTTTGAAAATTGGAAATTAAAATGAAGGAAAGAAATTAAAACTCGCTTGAAATATAAACCCTATGATTTTAAAATTTGATACAATATTACACACTAAACACGACCTATAACAAAAACAATTTTAGAAATCCTAGGGATGCAGAGTATATCTCGACTTTCAAATACGCTTTATAATATCTAACTAGAAACGAGTTTGGCAATGAGAACCATTAACTTAGAGGTGTATGCTAAGATTCTTAACAGCCTGCAAGTACCAATATTCTTAACATAATCTAAAATTTGTTACTGACAAGAGTTTTGTAACAAAACAACTCTACATCTACTTATTAAGTATAATAAGGTTTTTTTTAATATTAGTCCCTTAGATATTTCATGTTTTTAAATTAGTCCCTCAAATAATTGAAATTGCTATTAGGTCCCTCAAATCTTAACGTATTTTGAAATTAGTCCCTCAAACCATAGAAATTGCTATCAAATCCCCCAATTATCGAGTTATTTCCAAATTAGTCCTTCTAATCAAAAAGGATAAATAGCAATTAGAGGGATTAATTTGAAGCAACTTATGAGAATTGGGGGCGTGACAGTCCATAACAATAGATTTTACTTGGTAATCCCTCCAATTGCTCATCTCCTCTTGAGTGGAGGGACTAATTTGGAAATAACTTAAGAATTGGGTGACCTAATTTCACTTTCAATGATTTGAGAGACTAATTTCAAAACACCTTAAGATTTGAGGGATGTAATAGCAATTTAAATGATATGAGGGACTAGGTCCAAAATATGAAAGATTTAAGGTACCAATATCAGGGGAACCCATATAATAAACTATTTCATGAGATAAACCACCTTCGAAATGATTAAAAAATAATTGGAGGAGATCAAAACATATTTTGGCAAAAATAACAGTAACAAATCAGTTTTACACCTTGCCTTCTTATAAAAGTGACAATAAAAGCTTAGGCTATTAAACAATTGCAAATCAAAATCATGTTTCCATGATTTAAGTTTCTCTATTTGTTAATTTCAATAGTTAAAACTAGGGGTGGAAATGAATCAAATAAGTAATAAGCAATTTGGTTATTATCAGTCTAGATATTCTGTCATATTCGATTTGGTGGTTCACTTCACAGTAAACGAATATTTTTTTAGTATTTGATTCATAAACAAATAGAATTTAACCAAAAGTACATTCGATTCGGTTGATTATTAAATATTCATTTATGTTTTACGTTTGATTTATGTAAATTTAATTTATTATAGATTATTTATACTATAAAGTGGCACTCGAGATATTTATCACAACCCTATATATCATAACAAAATATCTATTAGAAATAAATTATGATTCTAATGTTAACTTAGATTATATCCATAAGTTAATCAAATGTGGATTCATATTTGTTTGAATTACAATACATAAATATAGGTTAAAAGTAATGGAAAAAGATTAAATGCTTAAAGAAGTTTGCTAGTCTATAATGAAATAGTTTTCTACTTTTACATTATACTAATTTTTATGTTATATGAAATATGATCTTATAAATATTACTGTAACTATTTATAAGTATAGACTAATAATTCATAAATATATAAACAAAATAGCTTTAGTAGTGAAATATCATAAGTAGTCAAGCAAAATGTAAAAAAAGACAAAACAAAGAAATTATCAACAAATGATACGAGCCGCCGTGCGAGCACCTTTGATCGCAGAATTATCAAAGGTGGGTTGAGAAGAGGTTGACAAAAACACAAGAACAATTCAGTGGTGATGAAGGAAAATGCCTTCTCTAGATTATGATATGAAAAGATTACAATCTCTCTCACAATCTCACTAGAATCGAGAACAAACTCTTAATTCTCTCTAAACCATAATCTCTCTTAATTAAAATCTCTCTTTGATTATATTTGATTGATTAGAACCTTTAAAACAATCTCTTATATAGGTGTAACAACGTGGATGACAAAGTGATAAATAATCAAACCCAAACCCCACAAGAATTCGTGCAAACAAAAACCCAAACGAACCAGGAAACCATCGATGAGTCGACTCATGTACATATATGAGTTGACTCATGACACATGGGTCAACTTATGACAGGCATGAGTTGACTAATCAGAAACTTTTGACAAAACGGCTGGGTTTCGTGAGTCAACTCATGACAGGCATAAGTCGACTCAACCTGATGAGTCGACTCATGTGCATGTATGAATCGACTCACGGGCTGAAAACTGGATGCTTCGATTCTTCGATTCGCCGTCTCGTTCCACGCTTCGACCTGCGTTCCACTGTATTGTTTTACACCTCTATTCTCAAGTTACCATGAGAATCATCTATCCTCAAGCTCACATGAAGATCGCTAAGTTCCGAAGAGAAGATACACCCGTATCAACAAGGGAAACAAACTCAAGACCTAAGATCAAAGCTAAGTCTCAACCAAATGGGCTACAAAACATTCGTGAATAATTATAAGTTAAATCAAATTTGAACACCCTCTCACTATTCAACACGTATTCGAATTCGCTGAAGCAAACCGAATTTGAATTTGAATATGAGTACTATGGTATTCGCTTCGATTCAGTTGTTTTCCACCCCTAGTTAAAATATCTTCTAGACAAAGTCTGGCAAAAATATTTTTCACGTCCTAGGTTTTTTGACAAACAAACAATATACTAAGTTTGATCATATAGGATTAGAATCACATGTTTTAATAGAATATCTTTCCACGAGAAGAATCTCATGCTAGTGATGAGTCAGGGGTAGATGGAGGGAAGTGATCTTCAAACGGGACAAAGTTAAAGGCTAAGTGGTGTTTCTTTGGTTAATGGAAGGTTCACTTGAAAAATGACTGCTTACAAAGGCAAGAGTGGTTGAAGGGACAGAGGATGAAGGAAGGGACTATGACCCAATCATCATATGTAGCAGGTATCAAGGAAGATCATTGAGCAGACGCATTGATCATTTTTGAGATTGACGAAAGTCCACAAGTCAGGATGTTGATGGTTTCTGACACTACTTCTTATGTTGATTGGGTATTCGATTCTAGGACATTGGCACATATATGTTCCCAAATGAGCCTGGTTGACTCCTCAATGCAAAGAGTCAAGGAGGCTGTCTAAATGGCTAATGGCTTGAGATGCAAGGTTGCAGGTAGAAGGACAGTCACGTTAGTTGGAAGGGGAGGGAGCGTATGCTTTCTTTAGACGATATTCGGTTAGTCCAAAAAGTGACACAATCTAATAGCATTATGGGTGCTTGACTCGGAAGACTACCGAACCTAAGTGCACAAGGGAGTCATCATCGTATACCATAGAAGGAATCACATCCTGATTGAAAAGAAGTGTGTAGATGGCTTATATCAGGTGTCTAAAGGGAACAATGTACGAGGTGGAGCTTCATCTTCAAGGGGGTACCGAGCCACTTGCCTTCAAGGGAGCATCAGGCCACGAGGAAGAGGGATTTGTGCCAAATTTGGGTTCCTTAGTAGACCCAACATGGGATTTCAACTCTAGATGGAGTCACGAAGAAGCCTACAACAAGTCTAGAGTCGAGCTTGAAGTACGAAGTAAAGCGGGTTGGTGTCAAGTCAACAGAGGACTTGACATCGATCGGGGAGAAGTAATAAGCCCACTGAGCCGTTCGAGAGAGGGGCATAAGGTGATAGATTTCTCATATGTTAGATCTCCATAAATTTTCGATTTACAATGCAGAAGGTTACAACGAAGGAATGGTCAGTTCCGAACGTGATTTCACACAAGTTTAAGGTGAAAATTGTTAGGATTTATCTTTGTAAGTCAAGTAATCCTAGTTGGACTTGGATTAGGATTTGAAAATGATTGGAAAGAAACAATTACATCTGACATTGAATTAGAAGGGAAGAGGATTAGGATTTGATCATCAAAGTAAAAGAATGAATCCAAAATGAATTAAAGATAAGGAAAAGCTCTTTTAATACCTCTTCAGATACTCATTGCAAATAAAATCATACTCCCTTTAAAAGCACGAGTTCGGAAAATCTTTTTTAGACAAATATACCCTTTTATAGTCCTTATCTATAATCAAATTCTAATTTTCAATGGTCAATATTATCCTTCACTATTTTGAATATTTTATTTATATCTTAATCTATCCTAATCATAATCATATCTTATCCTAATCCTATGTGAACCATGTTTAGCTTAACAATTTAAAAAAAATAATATTAATAAAATATATAAAACATAAAAATAATATTAGTTTGTTAAGATAAAGAAATTACAAGTAGATAACATATCATAATACATGAAGTATTGTAAAAAACCATAAAAAGTTTTAAAATTGCAGGAAAAACCCTGAAAAGTTCAAAATTATAAAAATCATCCCAACGTCTCAAAACTTAAAATAAAAAACATGAAATTAAAAAATTAACATCAGTTTGCAAAGAATTTAAAATTTACAGTTAACTGAATGTCTCAAAAATTATAGAAACACCCTCAAAAGTTTAAATTACAGACAAGCACATTAAAATTCTAAAATTTTAAAACTTACAAACAACACGGATGAATTCAAGAGATTACCATGATACACCTAAAATTTTTGACATTTAAATTTAAATT